CTTAAAATAAGCGCAATTTTCAATCAACTTTTCTTACGACAAATTTTCAGATTTTTTTTTTTAAAGATCGAAGGCTTTACACGTCTGTTGAAATCTCTACTTTCTTTATAAAATTAACCAGAATTCTGAACTTTTTATACTTCAACCGTTTTTGGTCTCAAGATATATTCTCATCGGGAAAATGTGCCCACAGAGTTCCATTAAAATAACTCATAGATGGAGCGTTAAAATTATATATATATTAATATTAGACATATAGTGGCTAGGGTAGATAAGCAATAGCCCAATTTAACAATTTTCGGTACAAATAACTGAAAAGTCGATATATATTATACTGTATACATATATATGATATAAAGCCAAACAGAAGTTCGAAAATCTTATTTTAGGTATATGAGGGCTAAGGGAAATTTTACTCGATTTTATCTATTTTTAACATTACCACGTGTTATTAGCTGAGAAAGGTGCTGTTTGGGTTTCAGTATGGTGTAAGATCTCACGTAAATTTTAAAAACCTAATATCGTTCAGTCGAGTTTGCTCATTTTAGACACAAAGATACACAGTGGTTCGCGCGTTGCGAAAAGGAACTAAGCTAATACGGCTGAGTAAGCTGGTGTTAAGGAAGAAAAAGGCTGCGTCAGGATCGATAAAGACGATAATTAACTCGCCTATAACCACGTAAGCGGTGTCTACGCTAGTACAGAGGAAGAATAAAGACAATTGTGTTTGCCACCGATCACAATTAATGCGTTCGCGCTTTAGAATATTAACCTACTAAGGAGGCAATTGCTCGTTTAACAGCTTACTCAATTCGTAGCACCCTAGAAGTATACTACATGCTTCCTGAAATTGTTCAAGCTGATTAAGACTTCAGTAATAAATACTCGTGATCACACTGGTGGTCAAACCAAAAGCTACTAATATTACATACAAAAATATTTGAGGTTAAGAGCCATTCAAAGATTTTCAAAAATAGAATTAGAGTACAGATTAGAGTACTAAAAATACTATATAATTCTCGGAATAGTTAACGAAAAAATAACTTTGACGTCAAGATAATGCACCATATTTGGTGGGATCAGAGTTTTGTACTTTGTCATGGTCTTCTAAAAGTGACTGAAGCCATTAAAAGCGAACGCTACCGGCAAAAATTTACCGAATTGCAGTGAGAAAAAATTACAGAAATTTGCGACTAGAAATGAGGTAATAACTTTCAATCATATCAACACTCGGCATGATGTTGAAAGGCCGTTTAGAAACTATTTGGAAAACCGCATTTGGGAAGCTTTGCTTTCTGTTTACCATTTGTTGCGGCCGTTGCAGACTATTCTCACTGCAACTCGCTTCACGTGAAAACATTATGTATAAAATTGCTCTGATTCACTCGGTCTTAAATTCGGCCGGTGCAGTTCGTCTGGAATGTAAAACACACTCTGCCAGAAAGATAACAAAGTGCTGCGTGCTTTATTTAAAAATTTCAATTATTACCTTATTATGCACCATTACTTATAAGAAAATTCTAAGCTGGCAAATATATGTAAGCTGTTAACCCTCCAGCCACCGCTCAGCTAAGAAACGAATGTCGCATTCATTCCGTTTGATTGAGTTGAAATATTAATTGTAAAATTGCTGCGCATATCAACACCCAAAACGTTATAATAAGCTGTTATATCACGTACGATGATAAGCTGCATTCTGCCATATGAATATATATATATGTATATGTATTAGGGTGATTCAAAAAAAAAAAAATAAAATTTTTCGTTTGGTACTCTGAAAACGAGGTTCCTAGACACCTTCTTCCACAGGCTTCCTTACTCTCCAAGAATGAGTTCTGAGTATTTTTTCTTATCATCATATAGAAAACTTTATATCTCGCTTTCAACTACTTGAAAAAATATATTGTTCCTTAGGTTTTGTAGGAAATTGAATGCTCTACAAAAAAGGTCTGTACGATTTTTTCGTAAAGCCAACCGTTTAAAAGGTTTTAACAGTTAAAGTTTGATTATTTTTGTGAAAATTTTTTATTTTTTATGAATTTTATAACTCAATGAACTAAATTATTGTGAATGATGAAACTCACAGGTTTATTGAGAGGCTTTTTGAGAGGTGCCTAGGAACCTATTTTTCAGAGTACCAAACAAAGAAATTTTTTTTTTTTTTTTTTGATTCACCCTAATATGCATTGATGTTTGACGATGAATATCTCCTAAAGACTATTTTTATAGAGCAGTAAATTTCCTACAAAATCTAAGGAACAAGATATTTTTTCAAGTTTTCTATATGATAACAAGAAAAAATAGAAAATTGTAAGTAGGAGGACCTTCCCGTTACAATTAAGAACTCATTCTTGGAGAGGCTTCCTTAGAAGTGTCTAGGAACCCATTTTTCAGAGTACCAACCAAAAAAAAATTTTTTGCCTTATTTCGAGTGAATTTTTTTTTTTTTTTTGTGCATCACCCTAATATTTATATATATATGTACTTCTGTGTGCCAAAAATAGTAAGACTTGCTTCGACGGAGTTTTTTCGGCTCATTTTTGCCACGATATCCGATCGTTTGCACGTCTGTTTCCGAGTCGTAAGCATAGAGACAAGACACTTCGCTAGTAATGCTATGCTGGCAGTCGGAAAACATTGTTAAACAAACGTTAACTCGACGCCGTTTTTCAAAAAAATTTTTATTTTGGAAGCAATCATACTTTTACCTTTCTTAGATGCAAATCATCCTTCAAAATGGCTTTCACTGATACTTCCGATCATTTCTGAGACGGCGGTAATGTCAGCCTCTGCATGCCTTAAAGTCATAGCCATTACATCCACGGAACATCACTTTTTCATTGAATGTGGTTTCTATGTGGCGGGTCCCTAACCCAACTCACAACCTCGATAAGTGAATAATATAAAGTAAATAATATTCTTCACGAATGAAAAAATTTCTTACAAATCATTTGAGCGCTCAGTTAGTACGAGTATGGCAGATTTATGCTATAGAGATCTGCATTAGACAATAAGCCCTCCCAAATTTCATGAATATATCTTATTTTTATTATTTTTTTCCATACAAGCCTTGATACCGCTGGTGTGATAAAATTTCATAATCTTTACCATTAGTTCGCTGATCACTTATGTACATACATATGTATTTTATATGGGAACCCAACTTCACCTTTTGAGTTTTACCGAATACCTAACCATTATCTTACAACAATAAAAATCTTTTCTCAAACAGTTTTAAAGTAAGACTCGTAAAAAAAATGTTTCCAAATTTAGTGCACTATAGCTTTCAACATGTTTGATTTCCTACAGGGTAAGCATTTTAACGGTCTCCGACTGCAGTTCGTTGAACTACAAAGTAAATATTGCAATTCAGTTGCACACCAACAGCGAAACAATACAAAACCGTAAATACTAGACGGTTTGGAGGCAAAGAATTTATAAAAGTTCAACAAGTATTAAAGCGAATGAGAATTTCTAAAAAAATTAAAAACAGTAAAAGTGCTGAAGAAGTGCTGAAAAAGTTAGAACATTCTCTGCTGTACGAAAAAGGATTGTAATCAGGAATTATAGACCAAAGAATACAGATGCAACAAGGTGAACGATAGACGCATCGTTAGGGAAGTCAAGTGAGTTTTGTGTATATCTGCGTAGTTCACGAGTAGTGCCAATGGAACTTGGAACACACATTGATGGCGCTCAAGCATTATTGATTTGCTTAAATCTGCTTTTTCCACGCCAAATTAAATTACACAAGCTGCTTAGCTTCGAACAGCGTATATCTCTTAAAAGACAGCGGCTACGCTGGCTACGTCATACGAGTATTGTCCGAATGGACGAAAGCACTTCAACTCTGAGAGTATTCGATTCAGTACCCGCCGGTGCAAGTAGAGGAAGAGCAAGACCGCCACTCCGTTGGAAAGAGCAGCTGGAGAAGGAGCTGGCTTCGCTTGGTATCCCCGATTGGCGATACCTTGCGAAAAAAAGAAGAAGCAACCGGCGCGCTTTTGTTAACTCGGCTGTAATCGCGTAAGAGGTGTCTACGCCAGTAAAGAAGAAGAAGAAGTTCACAAAGAGGGATTTTAGTCTTTCTTCTGTCGCAGTTCACTGACAAAATGCCTCGATTGATATCGCTTGCTCTCAACGTGATATATACATATCATAGCAAATTTACTACACCAGAGTTGCAATTCATTGGTTTACATTTAAAATTTGATACTAACTGCAGATCACACCTTCCACTAGCATAAATGTATTTAGTGAACATTTAAACTAGGAATATATAGTAGCCCGTCAGCGAATTAAGCTTAATATAATGAGTGAGCAGAGGTCGAAAACAAGACTGGGAAAGGGAATGATTGGATTTTAATAATTAAAAGTTTTATGTCCATTGCCGCCAAAACTGCTGGTCCTAAGCAAAAAATTTACAGTTATATGTAATAGAATACATGATATACATATTCAACCTTGTGTTCTCACATTCTTTACATGAACTCAAAATTTAAACTTAGAAATATTGTAACACAGTTTTTTTTTGTTTGTTGATTATTAACTTTTTGCATCTTTTTTAAAAGAAATTTGGCGTAAACTAATATTTTTATGATCATGCAAACTGATCTAGGAAAAATCAAGTCCTGACATGGACTTATTGTCAATAATAGCTTCGTGAAATTTGCAAATATTATTTTTCGAAACAATGTTATTTTCTGCAATGAAATTTTGCTGATTGCACTACTTTTTTAAATTTTTTTTTTTCGCCTAATTTCGACTTAATATCGGAAATCTAATTTTTGATAGTAAATTCTCTCGTAAAAATAAAGTATTAGATCATTAGAAAAGTATAAACGCGCTAAAATAGTTGCTTTCTGATATTAGTTATAAAAAATATTGTCACAAATTTTGTTAGAAAACTAAAACTAAAACTTGTAAAACTAATCATACTTGTGTCTCACTTCTTTCTACGTCGTATTTTGCGCTACATAGCTTATTGTTCTTACTGGTTAGCGGCTACGGGCTAGCCATTGTCAAGCTTAGATGATTCATACTCGTATAGTAACTTGAGTGATCTAGCATTATCATAATAGCTCAGTTTCATATTGGCAGTGGAGTAGTGCACACCTATAAAGATGCGAAGACTTGAGACAATTAATTTGCAAAAAGTTGATTAATCGCGCGTAAATAGTGTCAAGTCAGTTGAAATTTTTACAAAATGAGTCGAAATAGCGGCGAACGCAACCATAATCGCGAAGAAAATAAAAAACTCGTTAACTTGGTAGAGCCGCATCCACAGTTGTACGATAGGGCTCATGATCGTTATGGTAAAACAAATGCTGTAGATGAAGCTTGGAGCAAAATAGGCCAAATGTGGGGGAAGCCAGGTGAGTTTGGTACCTTTGGTGATGTCACAAAACCGTCAATGAATTTGCAATACAAATTGTTGGCGCGATTTCAGCAAACGCGCCACTTGCCAACTCAACAATTTATAAATGCGGTGAAGAAGGATAGCACAGGTTTGATCATATTTAAATTACAAACTAATAAAAGCATGTATATACATATGCATATTCACATATACCCCTGTATGCACCGTAACTTACAATGGAGGTTCACAACATATTTAAAATAAAGTCTTAAAAATATTCTGGAAATAAATGAAATATTTGTGGGAAATTCTTGATGCCTAAATAAATAATACTTTCAAAAATTATAAATATTTTCGCTTCTTTATTGCAGTGCCTGAATGCAAGGAACGCTGGCGAAATATACGCGCCGCCTACGCACGCTCCATTGACGCCTACAAGACAAAGCGTGGACCGAACCGTGGTAAGCAGTACTATTTAGCGAAGGAGATGGAATTTTTTAAACCCCACCTACTAAAAGAAGCGGCTGCAATTGACACAGCAACAGCCGAACCTTTACTAACTGAATACGCATCGCAAGCAGCGCTAAATAATGACCACAATAATGAGATTAATAACTCAGCAGCGGACGCAAATGAAAACGACGTCCATAATATGAATAATACACACGCTGATGAAACTTTTGCGCTGGTGATGCCTTTAATTGACAAAATGGACGAACAGAGTTTGCGTGATTTGCAGCAAATCATTGAACAGAAACTGAGACAAACTGTTGCTGTAGAAAGTAATAATGACAACGAGTTGTCTGTACCCATGCAACAGTTACCACTGCAGTCGATCAAGCAGGAACCAGAGTTATCGCTATGACTCTTTAAAGTATTACATATATATAAACCTTGTTCACCTTGGGATCGGTACTAACAATCGTAGTAATTTTGCACTGAAATTTAACTGTATTCACAATTAACACCAACAACGTACAAAAGTAAGTATTTCCCATTATTTACTTAATGCCTTAAAAGCTTAGAAATTAAATTTATTTTATTTTAGCCCGCCTAATACAGCATAAAGTGCGTCAGTGCGTATACATAACCTCAGGAGGGAAACTCACCAGCGTTGGCCAGCATTACAAAGAATGAAATTCATTTTATTTTAGCCCGCCAAATACAGCATAAAGTGCGTCAGTGCGTATACATAACCTCAGGAGAGAAACTCACCAGCGTTGGCCAGCATTACAAAGAATGAAATTTAGTTTTGAATTTCGTCATATTTTAAGCGTTATGAGTTAACAGCAGGCAACAAAAAAAAAAAACGCTTTTGTGAAATTCTGTTTCTCACTTATAAATAAATTTGTTTCTAAAAAGTATCCTGTATAGGATATATTAACACACAAAAGGGAAAGTTAGAGGCCCTGTATAAAAATTTAAGTACCCTGCTAACCATGAGCGGGTAAAATACCAGATAATCAATGGGTGAAAGTGTGGGTAACCATACATATATAGTTTGCTATTGGGCGCGTGCAGTTTCTACCCACTCACGTATGCATACATGTGATCATACATCTTTGTTGCGCTCATTCAGCAGTGTGATATAAAAAAGTATATTTGTCCTGCTGTAATATCCCCAAACGACAACTGATGCAGGGTTGCGTTTTAAACAGCTGATGCAGGGTTGCATTTTAAACAGCTGATACAGGGTTGTATTTTTTGATTCCTACTTTAAAAATTTCTTAAAATTTCAAAGAAAACTTTTTTAAACTTAAATTTTAAATTATTAATTGTATTATGTTCAATAAATATTTACATAAAATTTACATAATTTTTTTTTATTTTATTTTATTTTATTAAAGCTTACATAATAAACAAATTAAAAAATAATTTAAAAAAATAATTTCATCTGAAAAATTATTAATTAAAGAAAAATTATTAAAACCTGAAAATAAAAGAGTGGAAAAATATTGTAACAGACAAATACCTGAAAATAAAATAAAGGTTATTAAAACCTGAAAATAAAGAATAATTACATTGAATTTGTAATATCTAAAAGAAAAGATTAATATTATCTGAAAAAATAAAATATATTAAATACAAAAAGAATTTACTCTGAAAACAAAGATTAATTAAATAAAAATAATACTAACTTCTGAAAGAAAAGCTATATATTATTTGATAATTTAAAATTTAAAACAAACATTTGTTTTGACATATCATATTGGATTGTGCAGGCCGCCTTAAACGCATAAAATACATACATATGTACTCTGTGCCCAAAAAATAAGGTGACATTGTATTTATTTTGAAAATTCTTTATTTATTCTTCCAAATCAATTTCATCCCCTTCAAAGCAATCGCCACTAGATGTAGTATATTATGCCAACGGATTTTCCATTCTTCCAAACACTGGTTGTAGTCACTTTCCGGGATGGCCTTCAGTTCCGTCTTCGCTGCGACTTGATTATCGTATAAAAACGGTGTCCCCGTAGCGGTCTTGTGAGCTTGGGGCACAGCCAGAAGTCGCACGGCGCCAGATCAGTTGAATACGGTGGTTGCGGGACGATATGGGTTGAGTTTTTGGCGAAATGATCATTTAATACAAATTCTTTGCTCAACAAATTTCGACATCGCGAAAAACGAAGAACTCACTTTTAGCAGCTCACAAAACGATACATATCTCAAGCACTAATGAATATTTTTGACATGAAATTTGACATAAATGTGACTGACAGTGCAAAACTGTGCTATATGCGAAGTAGGCGTGGCTGTAGTCAAATTTTGCAGAACTAGCTCAAGTCCGTATAACTTCAATGGCCCAAGGGAAACCTCTTAATTCTTTAAAATGGTTGACTGGCCTCTATTTTCTATATTGGCGGCAAATGTGTACAAAATCGTGATCGCTGATGAAATTTGAATTGTTTACTCACCACGTTAAAAGCACTTACACGTATTTTTTATATCAAGTTATTATTAGCACATGAAGAGATGATTGCTACAAAGCTCAAATAGTCAACGCACATGCTTACACTAGAAATTAGCAACAAATGAGTAATGAAAAGTCTATCTCAGCTGCTCACATGCGCATCAAAAACCAGAGAAAAAGATCATCATACGTCTTTTCTTATAGCTCCACCCATCGGCTAGTGCAAGATGGCGTTTAGAAGTTGTCTCAACAAAAAGTTTGCGGCACGCACCAATAATGATCACGCCCTCGGAAGATCGAAAAAGAAAGGAAATTCAACTGATAAATAACAGTTATAGCTTCTGCAAACAGTTTTTTTTAAGAATCAATCATATATAAAGAGTGATACATTTCGAGGCTCCCTATTATTTTTAAGGAAAATCACAGAAACTTCAAATTTAATGTTTTACGGTTACGTTTTCACCGGCATAATTTTTTTTTTTTTTTTTTTTTTTTTTTTTGAAGTTATACGAGTATGGACCGATGATGGCAACGGCACACAAATCATACAAAACCGCTGCTTTTTTTTTCTGGATATCATGGCAGCTCTTGAATCTCTTCTCGTTGTTCTTCATCTTTTCAAGAGCCCTTACAGCGAATCGATGCCGCTGGATCCGGACGAGCGGCTTTAGTTCGTGTCCAAATTGTATTTTGTAAGCTTTTGATTGAGATCTCGACGTAAAATGCTCCAATTCGTGTCATACGTCAGTGTAAGTTGCTGCGAATGGCGTCGAATCGACTCTCCATGGTCTTCGTGTACACTCACAGCTACGGCGGCTATATTTTTTTTATTTTATTGCGTGCTGCATGTGGTCTTTGGTTGAAGATTATCCAATAATGCAGATGGGTGATGGTAGAGGCCTGAAACTGTCGATGACACTATTGAAACTATCGATGCTGTTTGACTATCGCAAAGCCATCGATTGTTTTTCGGCACCATCGATGGTTTTCGATAGTTTCTAATTTATGTTCGTGTGTTTCATAACTGTGAAAACATATTCATTCGAATTCGCAAGTATTTGAAATACTTGGAAGAATTAATTTACTTTGAAGGCTTATGAGTTGAAGTAACAATTCTGAGTTTGTAGCTTAAATATACATATGCCAATGCGTATGTACTATTCTTAATTAATACTGTAAGCACAAATTTTGGCAGCTTATCGTTTACACGTTAATGTTGCGTATACGCACCGGTGCATGAAATAATATCACAGTTGGAGGGAATATGTAGCTACGATTACAATTACTGGAGTTAATCATTATGATCTGCGTACATTGTGCCTACGCTCGGCGACTTCGCATATTTCTGTCAAATCTGGCATGTACGCTTGGAAAAATAGCTGGAATACTGATGTCATTGCCTGTGATATGGTTCCAATTTTCACTCATCACTGCTGCATCGTTTGGCAGCTGTGATTTTAAAAATTCCATGCGACCAGCTAAAGGATACGGTATAAATATTCATCTATATAAATAGCTACCTCACTTACACCGGCAACTGCAGCTTCAGTAGGCAGATGTGTTGTTAAAAATTCCACATACCTAGCTGAATTACAAGAAAAGTAACAGATCACCTCTTTCGCTTACCATAGCGACGAATAATTGAGCGATGCCACAGTTAAACATGAATTCTTCGATTTTCTCCAGAAAAAGTTCTATTATACATTTCTTCAATGGGACTGGAAACCTACAAGACATTGGCGACAGCTTTAACAATACTACTCACTATACCTGTGTCAGTTGCATCTTGTGAAAGATCTTTTAGCAAACTTATATTGATCAAATCTTACTTGAGATTGACCATGAGTCAGAATAGACTGTCCAAACTTGCGATTCTCTCAATAGAATGTGAACCTGCTTCAGCTTTAAATTACAATGATGTGATAAGGGATATTGCAGCGATCAAAGCTAGAACAGTGCATCTTTAAGTTCTATCACTATTTTTAAGAAAGATATAAGAAAAATTCAAAGACTGAAGAGTTTTCGAGTAAAAATTAATATTTTTCATTGTTATTCAGATTATTACATTGTGAGTGCACAACTCTTTATCATTTATAATATATTTTGTAAAAAAATTTGTTGCAGTGTTTTTCTGAATATTAAAAAACAGCGTAGATCGCTTTGGCGCCCCCAAGACGTTCCCCCCAGTTGCGACATATCCTTCAAAGCAAACAAAAGCAAATCAGTAAAGCAAATATTTTTAGAAAAAGAAAAGAATGTTCTACTTAAAATCACGCTATTATCCAAGATATCCATGTTTCCTAGCTCCAGAGTTGCCATCTTCAGATAGAAAAATTAACGACATATCAATCCAACAACTTGATAAAATATTCACAAATTTTATAGGTAATTGCATTCTCTACAAAACGGCGTTAGTACCTAAGCACTTAACCAAGCGAAAAAAAATATTTTACCCACCCTAATGAATAATATACTGCATAAATGATATTCAACGTCCAGCACGCAAGAAAATATAGCAGTCGACGTTTTTGAGCCAATTTTTGTTCAGCGATGCGGACCATTTCTGGCTTAATGGGTACACAATTACCGCTTTTGGGACAAAGACCAACCCGAAGAGATTCAACAGCTGCCATTTCAACCAGAAAGAACAACGGTTTGGTGTGGTTTGTGGATCGGAGGAAACATCGGTCCATATTTTTTCAAATATGGTTGTCAATGCCATGATAACCGATGCCTGAAATTGAGGCTCATGGTCTCAGCGACATTTGGTTTCAACCAGACAGCGCAACTTTCCACACATCGTTTAAATCAATTGATTTATAAAGAGAATGCTTCGGTGAGCAAATAATTTCACGTTCTGAACTGTTCGATTGACCACCAAGATCGTATGTTATCACACTGTTAAATTTCAAAAGTTTATAGTCCAAAGTCTATGCGGACAATCGCGCTTCGTTTCAGGACTTGTTATTCGTCAGTTAACAGTTGAAATGCTCGAAAATTACACGCAGCGGAGGAAGATCAAAATATTTTAAAGAAATAATCTTCAAAAAATAAAAGCCTATGAATGTTCGTTAGAATAAAAAAAAAAAAAATAATCCCCATTACATTTGAAGACTCTGTGATTTTTCTGTAAAAAAGTAGGAAATCTCGTAGTGGATCACCCTTAATACATGACTGATTCTCAAAATAAGTGTTTCCACTAGTTATAGTGGTTATTTACCCGTTGAATTTTCTTGCTGGGTAGCTGCTTTCGATCATGCAAAATTATATACATATGTACCGTGATCATTATTGGTGGAGTGCGTAATGGAAACTTGTTAGTGAGACCACTTGCAAACGCCATCTTGCGCTATTCAATGGGTGGAGCTATAAGAAAAGACGTGATCACGCTCTCTCCCTTTCTTCCTTGTATTTGGGTATGCGTGAGGGCAGCTGAGATAGACTCTGCAT